CCACGTAAATTGTGAATGTTGGTTTTGTTTTTAATATGTTGTCTTTGTCTCGTTCCCCTCTCTCCCTTGTCTTTTGTGAGCCGCCTAGAGTCCTCTGGGACTGGGCGGCATACAAGACAAATAAAATGAAAAATGAATGAAATGAATTTTTTCAGCTGTGAGCAGCTTTCAATCCACTTTAATTCCAACTAACTGCTGGAAGAGCAAGTTAGTGCAGGGAGGAAGAGATAAAGTATTATTCCTGGACAATTATTTATTTGTTTATTTAATCAATTTATATAGCTGCCCAACTCACACAACAGTGATTCTGGGCGGTATACAGCTTTAATTATAGATAACAATAGGGAAATGTTTCTTCTGCCTTAGATCTTGTGCTGATCCTATGGGACAATAGTATTTTGGGTGGAAGAATTGAAAGTAAATTAACTCTCAGCCTCCAAATGAATTTCCATTGTCACATAACTAAAAAAAAATACTTTGGGAAGAGTCTTATAGAATCAACATTTTTTACAGCCCTAGGAAGTAATACTGCAAAGCACAGAAAATGTTAATTGTTCTGCGAATTACATCACCACGTGGATGTTAGCCATGGCTCTCAGATAAATGGCATGTTTTTGCTCTTGACCTTGGAGGATGAACAGACTAGTCATCGATGCAATAAACACGGAAGATCCACTACCTCTTGCCAGGCAACCAGGCACCCATAAAGAGAGCTACTAAGAACAAATAGGACAAGGCACGGCGGCAATTGCTGAAAGAAGAACTGGTTAAAGAAAATAACTTCATAGTCATGTCTGCTACGCCAAGAGCATCTGACCTGATTTGTACCCACAACTTTTGCTTCCTTCCAAATTTAAAGTAATATCCACTCTGATCTTACATGAAAGAGCGACAGAAGAATCACAGAAGGAATAGAAAATTCTTGAAAGATGAAAACTCCTGCTTGAGTCCGAAGAGCCTCCATTGATAGTTAAGTGTTGTGGCCCAGCAGGAGCCATTTGGAGCTGCCACCAGACTCCGACAGTGAGGGGTCTTATGAGTTGGCTCTGGAGGATGTGGAGGACCCTGGACAGGGTTCCGACTCCGAGCAGGGCGCAGAGANGTGGGGGCGATATGCTGACTCTGTAAACCGCTTAGAGAGGGCTGAAAGCCCTATGAAGTGGTATATAAGTCTAACTGCTATTGCTATTGCTATCACGTGACATTTTGGATGCTTGGCAATCAGCCTCCATTTATAGCGCTTGGCAGCATCCCACAGTTTACAATATTTTTGCCATTTACTTCTGGTTTCTAGCAAAAAACGAAAACAAAAAAACCCCTGGCAAACAATAGGTTGACTTTACAACGGCTATGTTCACTTAATGACCACCCAAAAAAAAAGGTTGTAAAATCATGCGTGGTCATCTGGTGACCTGCTTTACGACTGTCACGACTTATGACCAAAACTGCAGGTTCAATTATAGTTGTAAATTGGGGACTATCTATACTCCCATAAACAACTGAAGATATACACTTCACTTTTGCTATTATTCTGAATATTAAGAGGTATCCAAGATCACACATATCACTTATGCCAGTGATGTCAAAAACCTTTTTTGGCTACCGTGCCCAAAGCAGGGGGAGCACAGGGGGGGGGGGGTCATGCGCCAGCGTGCCACACCCATGCTACGAGCATGACCCCCCCCAGAGTGCGCACATCCGCGTGATCAGCAACCACCACCCCTCCTTTTGCCACAGTTTTTTTGCCTTCCCCAGGCTCCAGAGGCTTTCTAGAAGCCTGGGGAAGGCAAAAACAGCCTCCCCCGCCCTGCCCCCCCCCCGAACACCTTCAGCTTCCCTGAAGCCTTTGGAGGGCAAGAAACAGATGTACGGGGAACCCGGAAGTTTGGAAATGGTGACTTCCGGTTTGTCGTAGGGCCGATTTTCAACCTCCGGAGCCTTCAGGGGCCTTCAGGAGGCTTACCTGAGAGCTCCGGAAGGCAAAAACCAGCGCTATGAGCAAACCAGAAGTGACTTCTAGGTTCCCCATAAGGCCGATTTTTGACCTCCGGAGCCTTCAGGAGGCTTCCATGAAGGCTCCAAAGGGTGAAAAATGGCCCGACGGCCAAACCAGAAGTGACTTGGCATGCACGCTGGCCAGCCGACAGGGCAACGCCTCACATGCCCTGACAAATGGCTCCGCGTGCCATAGGTTCGCCATCACGGACTTATGCACTATGTAAAATCACAAGAGCCAGAGGAATGCCCACACCAGGACATTCAGCTTTGCACATTCCAAACTGTAGAAATGTAGCTTTCTGAACCAGGTTCGTACATTTGCCATTGTTTCCCCAAATCTCACAAATTTTCTCAGGCATCCTGTCATGTCAGGTAAGAAAAAATGTCATTGTTTTCATTCCTAACTTGCCATCCACTGCAGTTCTAACGTAGACCAAAATCTCCTCCATTCTTTTAAGAGGAAAGATGCTAATATTCCGTATCATTAAAGCAATCGGCCACCCAGACTGACCTTCCCAGGCTTTCTGGTGGATATCTTTGGCCTCTTTTTCAGGCTTCTCAGCAGCTTCCTTTGCTACCCGTAATGCCTCCACTTGTTCCTCCACAGAATTCTTACCCTCCTGTAATTCTGTTAGTTTTTTCTACAAAGAGAGGAAAGAAAATGGGAATTTTGTCCAAATCCAAATAGCTTCATGAGAAAGCATTACGGATCTGTAACCAATTCCTGCTTGAATTCCAGTTACCCATCTTGCAAGATATGGCAGATTTGTATGGCAATACAAATATGGTTGTATGTACCGTATGCATGGATGCATACAAGTGAGTTGGATTGAGAGAGACTGACTGGCTGGGCCACTCATTCCCTCATTCCAATTCTCCTCACAGGGAGGAAGGAAGGAGGAAGACACATTATAAATGTTCACCANGTCTAATAAACAAACAAACAAACAAACAAATAAAATTGTAAAGTTTGAAAAACACTGGTCTTAATTGTCCCATCTGGTTACTTGATCTTCCCTTTAAAATTATCAATGACAAGACATTGAGGCTGGCTAATGAAAATTCTCTTCTATGTGTCCAGGACAAAGAAGATATTATAATGCTAATTAGATAAGGAGAAAAGTTATTACAAAGACCACTAGAATCATAAGGGGGAAAAATACTCTTTTCTGCCTCTTTGTTCCATGTGGGGATATTTAAATAATAAAGAGTGTTGCAGAGAACAGAGACCAAGTATTACTTATTTGTGAACACATATTTGTCAGTATAACCATTGTTGGGAATAGCAGGTTGAACCCAGATTTATTTTGAGCACATTCTCAGGAATTAATGGGACTTTAAATCTGTAATGATTAACATAAATGCAAATAATGTACCAAATGGCAGGTCAAATGACAAGTTTAGTCATCAAAAATCTCTCCATCAGCAAAGTGGACGTTTAAGGCTATTTTTTGAGGGGGGGGGCATTCCAGTGAGGGATTTCTTTAGTTTCAGCTTTACCAAGGTACTTGTTAGCCCTTTTCAGTGGAGAGACTTAATTCATTTAGCATGAAAGGTAAAAAACTGAATCTTGCTGCTAAATTTATAGGTGCAATCTTATGGTGCTAATGGGCCACCAAAGGAGCTGGGACTGGATTGCCTGTCTTAATTTAGAAACACTTAGGTTAAAAAGAATCTAATCATCAAATCATATTTTTGGCTAGCTGAACTCTGTATATAAATGCTTGCTCTAATCTGATAGGGATTAACCGGGAAGTGTGCTAAGTGTAAACTAAACTAAATGTTACCCACAGTAATTTTCCTACAAGAATATTGGTGACATGGCAGCTACAATGTATGTACAAATGTACGTACACTTGAGAAATAAATAAATAAACTAAGGCCAATTCACAATCATTTTATATAACCCTACATCATGGACAGGCTAATCCAGCAGCGTGGGCCAAAATGTCAGGGTTGTATGAAAAGACAATAGGCATGGGACCATCTATGTCTCAGAGGTATGTACAGGTAGCCCTTGACTTATGACCACAATTGAGCTCAACATTTTGGTTGATAAGCGAGTCATTTGTTAACTGAGCTTTGCTCTATTGCCACAGTTGTTAAGTGAATCACTGCAGTTGTTAAGTTAGTAACAAGGGGTTATTAGGTGAACCTGACTTCTGCATTGAAGATCGCAAAGGATCACATGACCCTGGGACACTGCAACCATCATAAATACGAACCATTTGCCAAGCATCTGAATTTTGATCACATGACCAAAGGGATGCTGCAACAATCATAAGTGTAAAAAATGGTCATAAAGTCACTTTTTTCAGTGCTGTTTTAACAGTCACTAAACAAACTGTTGTAAGTCGAAGACTACCGGTAATATCAAAAATCAGATGCCATGACAGAGAAGGGTGCAATGGGAGAACAATATTTTAAGGAAAGAGCTTGCTGCTGAATATTATGGGACGGCTTAGAGCAGCGTTTCTCAACCTTCGCAACTTGAAGATGTCTGGACTTCAACTCCTAGAATTCCCCAGCCAGCCGGGGAATTCTGGGAGTTGAAGTCCAGACATCTTCAAGTTGCCAAGGTTGAGAAACACTGGCTTAGAGAATTGAAAATAAGTGGTCTCACAAGTAATCCAGGCCTATGTTATGAAAAGCTTTGTAGATATACTTGAATTGCATCTGGAGGCTACAAGGGACCCACTGAGGATCATAGAGCAACAGTGCTACATAGGCATACATACATGATGGAATGGGGTAACCAGGAGATGAACAAAGGTTGAGTGACTGTAAACAGGGCTTCTGAAACCAGGAATGGATACAAATACAAGATGGATTTGTACAAAATCCCTCCTCACTATACTGCTACCTGCTCTTGAAGCAACAGGTATGAAAGAAGGAAGATACTTTTTTTTTGTACTGATGATTCTTAACTGCCTATATTTGGGTTACCCATTCAGCAGCTTTATATAGATATTTAAAAGGAGTGTATAGTGAAAAGGCCTGAGTAACCCTACAAAGTAGGCATGTAGAACTAGATATTTTTTGTCCTAACAATACTAACTGGATCTGCTCTGGAGAAATAAGAACCACTACAACTTTGATACATACACACACACACAACTCTCAGAGCTAGTCCATATGGACACCATGATCAGTTGAATCAAAAACTTTTAAGAGATCAAGGAAGAATAGGGAGATGCCCCATCCACACCCTAACCCCACTAGATTAAAGTGACCAGATTTTAACATTGGTAAAGCGGGACACCATTGACCAGGGGGGGGAGGGTCTTGATTAAAAATTTAGTCTATATGCTGCCTCCGCCTCCAACAGAACCACCACATTTTCCGCCCAGTGCTGTGGCTGAGGTGAGGCCGCCAAAGCTCCCGCTGGCGCCCCTGCCTGTGGCAGTGGTGGCGCCACCTCCCCCTCCACTCAGAGCACCTGAGCTGGGCACCACTTTACCCCTGCCATCGCCGCCTCCTCCTCCGCCATGCTTTTGAGGAGCCATGAGGCTGCGGGAGTCAGTAGGAAGGTGGCGGAGGGGGCAGGAGCAGGAAAAAAAGGCCCCATGGCTTCTCAGAAGCACAGCGGAGGAGGAGGAGGCAGCGGTAGGGGTAACGCGGTACCCAGCTCATGTGTTCTGAGCGGAGGGGGAGGCGCCATTGCCAAGGGCGGGTGCAGCTGGCGCAAACTACAGTCAATCACCCTGTACTCATCAAAACAAGTCCGGGGAGATCCTTTGCGGGCGGCCAGTTCTAGCCCCCTGCAAAGGACCTCCCCAGCTTCTGGAGGCTGTGACAGTAGAAATCACTGCGCGGCAGTTACAAACTGCTGCACGGTGTTTTTTTGCTACGTGCGCGGCCGACCAAAAAATCGGGACTTTTTGAAAACGCCATGGGACGCGGGACAAGTTTTTAAAAAGCGGGACAAATTTTTTAAAAGTGGGACGTCTGGTCATCTTACACTAGATATCATTCCCAAATGCAAGTAACTTCCTCTCCTTACTATACCCGGATCAAGGCATGAAATCCTCTTATTTTGGGTACTGGTTCGGAACCGGGAGAGTGTACGCACATGGCGCTTCTGCGCATGCGCAGAATATCCATGATGCCATCTGGGCAGGTGGGCAGAGCCTCCAACCACCACCACTACCAGTTCGCCTGAACTGGGGCAAACCGGCCGAATACCACCTCTGCCCTGATCTGAAACCAACTGAAAAGGGTCCAGACAATTTATTTCAGGATCCTCTCAATAATTGGAAGCAGGACAAAAATGGGATACAGCAGTTGATTCTTGAGGAGGGGATGATCCACTGCCACTAAGAATTGGCAGAACCATCTTCTCTGGCAATGCTACCATTGCCTGGATTCAATGGCCCATCATCTCCTATGAGGCTTTAACTAGTCAGGAGGGTCATGGATCTAATACACAGGTGGCCCACTTAGAGCCCCAATCATTGTCTGTACTTCAGAGTAGCAAACGTGAACACTTTCCAGGGAACTAAGCTAGGCTCTCCAGAATCTACATGCTGAGAGAGTCCAGACAGATGCAATCTGATTTAAGACTGCTACCATCCTCTTATTACAGGCAACAAGTAAGGCTTCATTTGAACGGTGCATTAGAAGCAGTGCTGTCCAACTTCTTTCCTTTTGCTACTCACTATATAATAAAGTTGAAGTTCTTGAAGGGACCGTCGATCCACTGAAATGTTCTTCCGGGTCTGGCAGTGGAATGCTGCTTCTATTCGTCCTTGTTCCCTGCTTTTTATCAGTGGGACCTGATTTTGGGGAAAGAAATTCTCTTCTTTTCCATCTCTATCTTCTTCATGCTGGCACATTTTGCTGGTGGTTTTCATATTGATCCTTTCTTGCTTCCTAATTATTCCTGAGCAGTCAAAAATACAAAGATTAATAACAGATTTCCCTCAATATATCTTATTCTGAAAATATGGTTGACTTGATTTTCATTTCATTATTGTATTGCCAGAGTACAATTTATTAGTTTGTGACGCAAAAGCTGAGGGAAACCCTATTCAGGCAATAGATTTCTATCACACAAGGAGAGATATATAGCTATTCACTTCTCCAGCTCTAGCTGATTACCTCACGGAAAAGCCAGTATCTACAGAGTGACCATCTGCAGCAAAGCATCTGAATAATGCATTTCAAGAATTCCATACAATCCAATTCAAACCCTGTGCTCTCTGGATTCCAGCTTCTGCGGTATAGATGGATAGATGGAGATGTATGTATGTATGTATATATGTATGTATGTATGTATGTATGTATGTATATATGTATGTATGTATCGGGGTGGGTTTCTCGCCCCATTCCAACCGGTTCGGTTGGAACGGGGCCGGCGGTGTCCTCGTGCATGAGTGCGGTGCACGCGTGCAC